TTTTAGATTTTCATAAAATGTTTTTTACACGTAAAATATAGTCTCTGGCACATTGAGGTTTTTTATATGAACATCTCTGATATTAACGATCAACATGAATCAATTAAACTTTTAGTTACGTAATCCAGGGCGCGATTTTTATATTCATTGTTGCCAACCATTTGACATATTCGGCGCCGTGCTGACTAACTGGAATTTAAATTTCGAGCTTTGGACTCAGGTGATAGCTCCACTGTAAATGATGTCAAGTTGCCGCATTTATTTATTTCCTGACATTGTTATTCGTTTTGACACTTTGGTTTTGTATATTACGGATTTTTGGTTTAAATAAATAGTGTTGTGATACTTTAAGCATAAAATGTTTACTAGCAGACCTTGCAGTCGAACATTGTTCTTTTTAGAACCTCTTTTAGTGCGAAGTGTACAAGATAGCTTAATAGCCGTAAAAAACTCATTGCAACTTTATTAGAATATTTTGGACGGGAAAACGGTAGTAATGACCCTTTAGGTCTCTTAAGTGCTATTAAGAAGGTGAGTTTTGTTGATGTAAATACTAAATGTTTATATATTTATAATTAACTTATTTTGGTCTAATAAAATATTTTCATTAAAAGAAAATATATAAAAGTAGGTAACGCTGTGCCAGTCAAACGTAATCATGTATCTAACAGTTTATTTAACATGAACTGTATATAACATCACTTAAAATTTGGTCGCCTGGGCAAAGTGCTTTATTCAGCTAATATATATCTTTCCCTTTAGGCTTAAAATTTTAGTTAACAATCACGTAAAGTCAACACACGCTAAATCAATTTTATCCCGGATCGCCTACAATCCAATTATGCACTAAAAATCCGTGACACTTACAGCCCAAGTACTACAATCGTAGAGAGCGAGCTTTATTGTTCAAACGACTGAAATTACTGCGCTCCGGCGAGCGGCAATTCTCCTCCGGAATAGTCCGGGAAGTGCAAGTCCGGGCCGTCTCGTCGCTGAATGTTAATGCGGAAGAGCTCCCGGAGGACTTTCGTTAAGCAACTGGGCCGGGATACGCGCCTGCCGAGGTTTAGGGAAACGTCCAATTAACCTTCACCTACAACGGCGGGCTTATCACTAATTCTACCGCGCCGCGATTTTTGGCAGGCTAGACTCGAAACTAAATCTCCGACTAGATGAAGTTGTGCATAATGCATCGCGAAATTGCGATTTTTATAATTAATAGCATAATCTTTGAGGATAGGATGACCGTTTTTTTAGGAGAACATTTAAGAGTCCATTTCACTAGTCCGAAAAAGAAGCCAAATAAGCGTTCGGCATTTAAAGTTTTATGTAAAACTGGCTAGGTATTTTTACACAAATGAAGAAGGAAACTAAAGATAAAGGATTATACTATATCCGTATTGTAGCACATTTTTAGAAAACACAGAAATAAAAATAGTGGCTGTTTGGGAACAATGTTTTTGCGACGTTTCGAGACTTCGTTGTCGCTACTTCAGGCACCAAAACATATATTATAAAGTCGCGAAACGTCGCAAAAACATTGTTTCCTTTTGAGCCTTCCCAAACACCCACTTTTTTTTCTGCGTACTAACTACTGGGAACTAACAATAATCATAATTTTTAGAAAACCTCTTTATTTTAAAGATTTTGATGGCCAAACATCAACAAAATATTCCTTAGGTTTGGACTAAATTTTCTCGTAAAAAAAGACATAATTTAAAATTTCGTTACAATACGGAAATAGACTGAAGTTTTGTGATTACAGTGATATATAATTTATACGGTTTTGTAACAAATTGTTCGTTATTTTATGGTAAATGCTGAAGCTCTGCAAATCTTAATCAAAGCAGGTCTGTTTGGAATTTTTGGTGTGGCTTAACACGACAAGATCAGGTAAGCCTTAGGTAGATTTCTGAAATGTGATATATATTTCCTTCGGCCACACACGCTTTACCCGACCCCTGAGAGCGAACAAAACCAAACCAAACCGTAGGGAGTAGTGTTGGGCATTACGATTCTTTTTAGTGAATCGAATCACGCGATTCAAGCAACTCTACAATGCGACTCGTTCGTTCAAAGAATCGTGAGAATTGATTCTTTTCAATTTTCACGATTCTTTGAACGAACGAGTCGCATTGTGATCCGATTCAATTCTCATAACTCTTTTTTACGACTTCAAATTTTATGGATCCATTCTGACCACGATTCAGTTGAACGAACCATATTGTAAATGAATCACAAATTCTCACGACTCTTTGAACGAATGAGCCGTAGAAACGAACGAGTCGCATTGTGATCCGATTGAATTCTTACGACTCGTTCATTTCAATTTTATGAATCAGTGAGTAGATAAGCAGACAATTCGGCATGTATTGCTGGCTGCAGTACGTGTATATGTTGTGACAACGATAATAATCTGTAGGTGTAGCCTATAGTGTGTCTGCCGTTTTTCAATAAAAGTTTTGCCTTTACTCCTGATTTATTCTGAAGCTGAGTCTCTGTAGTGATGAAAAACACACAGTGATGAACACTGTAGTGGTCACGATTCAATTGAACGAACATATTTTAAGCGGCGAATCGAATCTCACGATTTATTTTTAATACCCGTTCAAATGAACGACTTGTCCAATTTTTGCCCAACTCTTTCTCAACCATTCTCCTTCTATCAGACGGTATATTACTCGAAAATAAATCGAAAAAATGCACTTTCTAAAACCATAAATAATAAAAGTCGAGTTAAATTGAGCCCATTCTTCAAAACCTTGACACTGGCCGCACAGAAAAAGCAATTAAAATAATAATCGCTTTTTCATGACGTAGCGCTAAAACTCTTCGAAACCGTTTAAAACTTTTATTGTCTAATACATTATAAATCAGGCTGAGCTGGAAGAGTTCTATTTTAAAAGTCCACTTTCCATATTGCGCGCGCGGAAACCGTCTGGATACGAAGCCGCTTTAAACCGGATCGGAATCCAGATGCAATTTTTTGCTTGAAAAGACTTGGGTTCTTTTATATATATGAGAGGGAAAACGATAAAAACTGTCCGGTAAGCATTTAGGAAAGAGTTTTGAACTATATTACTTTTCTTTAAATTGATTGCTTTAATATTTTATTTTAATAATACTAGTAAATTTTGTTGGAAAAGAATTTTATAAAGTTAACAAGAAGATTACTTTCGCGGAAGTAATTTGATCATAAATCTATTAAATTTCAATTATATTGAATATCAAATTCGAAGAAAGATGAAGTTTATAAGTACTTGGTAATCATATCCGCGAAAATTATGAACATTTTTTTTTATATTTTTGTTAGAATTTAGTTTTAAATTTTTTGTAGCCAAACATTGCAATTTAACTATTGATTTATCACTTTTTTATATAGGGTGTGTATTAAACAAGTGCAAGTATTTTAACTGATAGTATAGTTCAACACTAGAAATATGTAAAACACTGGATTAGGGAAAGCAGAATGCTCACTGGAAAAACAGACAGAGGCACAGGTTTAGCAAAGCCTTCATCCAAGTTCCTAATTTTAAAATCACAAAGAAACTGCTAATACTAGTAGGAATAACGCAGACGAATGAGTGCAGATATAGAAAGGATATAAACACAATAGACCTGACAAGTCGCAGTGTTTCCGACAAAGGATGGCCCCCTAATATTAAGATAAGACAGAAACGTATCAGTTAGGATTTTTTGAAAAAAAACATTTTGAAAATTTTATATTCCTCGGACAATTAATAATATAGTACCCCAGATGGTCCATTTATAAATTTCTTGACGGTGTATCAGAGCTTGGCAGTGTGGCCACCTCCTACATTACTTACATTCTGTATATTTATGTTTTTATAAGTTTATAGTAATTTTAATCTTCTACACAATAAATTACGAAAATTAATATTAATTATATCAGTAGCATTACTAACAATTCTATAAAAACACACTGCACTTATTTTTTAACACACACTAATACAGTTTTACAATTATTTTTAACTAAACTTGAAAAATATTCCTTTACAATTTTTTCAGATTCTCTAATCGCCATATTGCGAACTATTTTATATTTTTTTTACCTATTTATGGGACAGCCTGTATATTAATACACAGTTAGGTGTATTTTTTACAAATAAAAACAGATAAACTTCACAAACATCTTATTTAGATTGTTATCGAAATTGTAAGCTGATTTTTAATCCATATTTCTCTTAATTTTTATTTTTAGTTTTAATTTCGACAGTTTCAAGGTTTTCCTTCTTAATTTAATATCTAGTATTAAACGAATTTATGATTATTTACTATGTGTACGCCACTGGCAGCCCAAAGGGCACAATGAGCGAAATCGGGGTAATTACTTTAAAATGTCTTAGGCAAAGGGTTGTAGTCTACCTCCATTTGCTCGGATGTCTTAGGGTCGGAGGGCTTAAATAGAACAGTTAAGGAGAAGGGTTGGAACTTTGTACAAGAATAATATAAATATTGATTTATATTGTTCGTATCCAGCAGAGAATTAGTATAGAGTTGATATAACTTTGGGGAACTGGTTGTTGTTCTTACAGAAATGTTTTATAATAAGTAATTATATTAAATTACACTTCAGTACACGCGCGGGGTATTTTAATATCACACATGTGCACAAAATTACATGCCACCTCTTGTATTACTTAACAATAGTGTGTAGGTATGCGTTCAAGCAGATAATCGCAATCACATCACTAAAAGTTAAGAAATGCTTCTTTTGGATGTCGAGGAGTCCAACAAGATCTACTAAAGTACATTATTCGAAACATTACATGTGCAAAAAGATCCCAAACTGGCAAAGAAAGGTGTTATTTTTGTCCTAGATATCATAAAAATCATGTAATTCACCAACAATGGCTTAGAAAATAGGGCAAAAACAGTTTTTCAATGTCTACAATTGTTAAAATTTAAACTTGCTTTTCTAATTTTGAAAGTTGTTTATTTTTTTAGCATACTAAACATTTCCTTTTGTTACAGATAGAAGACGCAATGTTGATGTTCGACAAACAAACAAATCGACATCGAGGTAAGTTTTTATTAAAAACATTCCAAAAATTCAGAACCTACATTTTTTCCGCCTATTTAAAGAAACAATTTTACTTTACGAGGTTTTCTTGACACATTTCAAAGAATTTATGGCCAAGCCTTAATGCTTCGCTTCACGCATTTTTGTAATACAAACAGAGAATTATGGCGACATAAAATAAACAAAGTCAGTCACCTTATACTGCTTAATGGACTGAAATTACCTTAGAAAAACAATTTAAGACGAGAGCGATATTAGCGAAACTAAACAAAATTTTTTTTGTGAGCTGTTACTAAGGCAACTTGGTCTTAATCGATTTAATATTTAGTAGAAAGTAGGTCTTGAGCAAAAACGTGAGCATTTCGTTTTTTATAAAAAAAACAGTGACGTAAGTCTTTAAGGAGATAATACGTTTTTAGAAAGGTACTTAATTTACTAAAGTTTTATGTACATAAAATAATTCTAATGATTATTTTTATTCAATACCCACTGTGTAGAGTGGTAATGTAATTGATTGAATGGTTAGTTATACTGGTACAGAAGTAAGAACAATTTTCGGACACTGTCTCCTCAATGGACATCTTAGTATATTGGAACTAAGAACCAACGGCGAATGCAGGTTCTGTGGGTAAAATGGGGAAACATCAGACACCTTATCACTGAGTGCGCCAAGACGACAAGCAATCCAGTCATAAACTTTGGTGCGACTGATACGGGATAAGGAGAACTATCCTCTGTAAAACCGTCTTGGATACGTGTCAAATCCCTGGGACTCTATGATGAATTATAACTCAAGAAAGGGGGACACAATTAGATCTATGAGATCACGGTGATTCACTTCCGCTTTTCCTTATAATCTGCAATCTACAAGATTGTTCCAGTTGTTTTAGAGAAATTTTAGATAGTAATTAATATTAGTTAGTAATTGTAAAGATTAGTAAACTCTACAGTTATAATTTTCCTAAAATACATTATTTAAATGATCAATGGTTTTAACAAAAACTGTTTTTATTTATAAAGATAATTGTCAATTTATATTCGTTATGTTTTGTTTATATCTGATTTTTCCAATTAGTAGTGTAGCTCAAGGGGTTCTACGTCAAAAAAGTTCAGTTTCTTGCAACTAACGTCAAATAATCAGAGTAAAGGGGAAATCATTCGAATTTAGATAATGTTCCAAGCCAGAGATCATTGGACTAGAGCTGCAGGAACTTATATAATAAACGCGGTAAATTAAACCTCCCTAGATTAGCAAGTTTTAAAGTAATAAATAGCGAAAACTTGAGCGAGTTTAGATGCCGGCAAGGACTTTGTAACAGCGTTCGCGTCCTATATCATTCGCAACGCTCTAACCCGGATAGTTTAGAGCGCGAGTTGTTGGAAAAGGTTCCGATATTACGCCGAGCCAGTGACTAATGTTATATGATTCAACTAGTTGGGATGAAGTTTTGGCGCAGTCGAGTGGATCGGAGGTTTTTCATTTTTTTGGTTTCAAAGTTTTGACTTTCATGTATCGTGCAAGGTACACATTCTGGATATTGCAGTGTTTATGAGTGGGTTATTTATGTATAAATACGAAGTTTTTCAAAACTGAAACAAAAACGAAACACAGATCTAGATGTCATTAACTTTAAAATAGACAACTTGCTTCTTTTTAATAATTATGGAAAAAATGTCTTGAATTTTGTGGAACTTTTATATATTTGAGATTTAGCTATAATACAAAAAATGACTCGAGATAATATGTAACGAGAATGATAGGTTAGGAGAAATGCTTGATAGAGTTAGTTAAGAACAGGCCATTGAGAATGTCAGGTTGCTTATATGTAATCCTGAATACTACGACGGAACAAAGGAATTATGAGGGAAATCCAATTTTTTTATTTAGAAGATACTTACTACGTTTTGACATTAGAAGTGGGATATTCCTACTAAAAGTATCAAAAAAGTTTTAAAAAGTACCAGTATATCATGTTGTGTGTGAATTACCACCCTCTTTTATTGACAAAATATTAAACTAAATACAAACCGCAAATCATAGGCATAATACACACAATGATAAATATACACAATTATACAACTTACAATTACATACATACGAGGCGTTTCGGATAAAATAAGAAGGATAGGATTACTAGTAGCCTGGTCTTCTCTGTATATGTTACTATGTGCAAGATGCAGACTACAAATCATATTTGTTAAAATAGATCTTTTGAGTAGCCATGTTGATGTAAAAACTAAGGCAGTGAGAAAATATAATTTCGGAAGTACATTATAAATATAAGTAGGTACACACAAAAATAATTTTAGTTTTTGTTTATTAGAGTGTGGCTATAGGGATTATATTATTTTTTTCTATAGCAACTGTTAAAATTGCCTTATATCTATCAAAAATAGTACTTTAACCGCAAGGGTAGATTAAATGCAAAAAAGCAGTGGAAACAAATTTCAGGACATCTTCTGGGTTTAAAATTTTTGACTTTTTCGGTTTGTAACCTCTACATGACTGCTTCAAGAAAGCTATGAGCTTGCGATATCTACAAAGTTTAGATGTTACTATATTACTACGGAAATTTAAACGGTATAGCTTATCCTCAACCTTGAAATATCAATATTTTCATTGACCAGTATTGTACTTTTTAGCATTGAATAGTACGACCATAAACTGGACAGCTGCATTTTCTTTGATTTTTCAGAAAAATATGCTAAAAGTATGTTTTCGATGGATCTTTCTTCTCGCACGTTTTTTAATTGCTTCCATTTTTGAAAATTTTTGTATTCCTTTTCATAAGTTATTCGGGATTTAAATGGAAGTAGTTTGGATATAGCGTTTGTCGCCTCAGCCTGAATATGTGTTGGTCATTTACTTATTTCGTTTTGAGCCATTTCTGGCTCCAATTTAATCAGCAATCGACACGAAAGAGAATTAAAAAATATTTACTCAAAACTGACAACTAAAGAGACAGCTTTATTTATTTGTCAAGTTACATAGAAACCAACCTAGCCAACTCAGCACAATATTTTTTCTACTCGTAATAAATTCCTTGAAATAATAATTTCTGAATATTTTTTAAGACGTAGCTCGCTATGGAAAAAAATATTGTTTTATACACAACGATAAAATTGCATTACCGTCGCCCGAAATTAATTCCCTCGCGATTTCATCACTCGTGAATTAATATTTTCGGTCGACGATAAAATACCATTCTAACGTCTTGTATAAAAAATAACTATTAGTAGGAAATTCTACAGATATAATTTTTCTTTCTACAGATATAATTTTTCTACAGATTTTACAGAAGATTTTGGAAATTCTACAGATATAATTTTTCTTTTTCTTTTAACAATTTTACAGTTTCAACTTATTTGACCAAAATAAATATGCCACTAAAAATACAAAAGAAAATAAATAAGCAGGAAGGGAGGAGATCAGTTGGCCTGGTCAAAGTTGGAAGTTTTGCAATTCAATTCTCCAATTCCGGACCTTTCCAAAGATATATGGCTGGATTATGAATGCGCGGCGTCCGGTTCTTTTTATTTTTTCTATTCTACTTCTTTTTCTTTCGGTCCTATCAGAGAAAAAAATCGAAAAAGGGCTCCATTCGCCGGTCTCCGGAGTATTACTGTTCGTTTTGGAAAGAATGGAAAGTATTAGGAGAAAAAAATTGGTTGGAGAGTAAATTGCCAAGATAATCTACACATATTTCAATAAATCTTTATTCCAGATGTTTTCTTATATTTTTCTTTTTGAAAAAAAAATGTTTTGTAAGAAGATTATAACTGTGGATTTTACTAGAAAAATATATTTTGAAATAATCCCTGAACTACAAATAGAATACATTAATACTGTTATGTATACCGTATATAACTACCTAACTACATTTATTAACCTAATTAATTAACTAAAAAAGGAAAGGTGATTCCAATTCGATCCCGAGAAGTTTAAATCAAATAACCTGTATTTTTTAATAATTATGAGAATGTCTTGAATTCTGTAGAATTTATATCTGTTTTGCATATAACATTTTTAATTTATTGTATTAGTTGTATGAAGTTAGATGTAAATTAGTAACTATAGATATCATGTTAGAGAAGCTAACCAATTTAGTCACAAAGAAAATATAGTCTCCCTTTAGGGGAACTGGTTGTTGTTCTTACAGAAATGTTTTATAATATGTAATTATATTAAATTACACTTTAGTACACGCGCGGGGTATTTTAATATCACACATGTGCACAAAATTACATGCCACCTCTTGTATTACTTAACTATAGTGTGTAGGTATGCGTTCAAGCAGATAATCGCAATCACATCACTAAAAGTTACGAAATGCTTGTTTTGGATGTCGAGGGGTCCAACAAGATCTACTAAAGTACATTATTCGAAACATTACATGTGCAAAAAGATCCCAAACTGGCAAAGAAAGGTGTTTGGTCCATGTCCATATCCTCTTTTTGTTTTTGAAGGAAATGCCAAGAGATAAAAATTAGAGTACCTCCGTTACATGAACCGTCACAACGTAACAACAAGAAACATCCAACCCCTTCGTAAACAAGCTCAAAAATATAAAACCCAAGACAAAATCGACGGAAACTTTGGCAGAATTTGATATAAATATTTCCCGACATGTTTTGACCGCGCGGCGCACCGACAAAACCGGGAAAAAGACAAAAAGAAAAGACGAAAGAATGCATTTCGATAATTGAAAAGCTCTCCACCAATAAAAAGCAACTTTCTCGCTGTTCGTCTGACATTTGTGACGTGGAATGGAGCAAAGTTTCGGGCTTTTTATCGAGTTTACGGAGTTAGCGAGCAAATTGCAAATTGTATTTATATGATTTTTTGTTCGCAACCACCGCCAACCACGATATTATCGGTGCCGCTAATGGATTTTCGGCTTGGCAGCGAACCGGCGCTTTTTGTTTTCTTTGAGGGGAAATTATCGATATCTGAAAACTTATAATAAAGTAAACTGAATTACTTCGATATTGCGGAGAGA